GAGGCGGGGGGGGCGTGTCGTGGGAGGGCGGAGACGACACCCTGGGGTGGGCGTGGGGGGGGCTCTGTCGTGGGAGATGGGCTCTGTGGGACCCCAAGGCTGGGGGGTGCTGGGGACGTGGCACGGAGCAGGGGTCCGGGCTGGGAAGGTGACAGCTCGCCTCCCTGCCCCCTCCCCGGGTTGTGGAGCTGTGGACCTGGCTGTGGAGCGGGGCCCAGGGCAGCCCCTGGGGCTGGGGGGGACAGGGGGGGGATGTCCCTCACCCTTCTGCCCCTGGTGCCGTCCCGCAGCCCTGCCCCAGGCCCTGCCCCGATCCTGCTCGTCAGGAAGGGTCGGAGCACGTATCGGGGAGGAGAAGGGATTTAATCCAGCCCGGGCTGTGAAAAGCCTGGGGCTCGAGCACCAGCCCTAAACAGCAGCCCCTTCTCTGACATGGCTGGTTTAGCAAATAGCTGCCTGCCGTGAAAAATAAAGATTTAAGATCCAGAAGGTGGTGTCTGCGTGGGGGCGTGCTGAGAAGAAGGGCCTTTCTTAGTGCCCAGTTCATTTTCTGGCTCCTGTTACACCTGGCTTTTGGAGTTTTCCTACCCTGGTGACACAGGGGAAATAACTCCAGCCTGTCTTTGGGGTCATTTATCCCAGTTAAACGGGGCCAGGGGGCTGAGTTTCTGGAGGGATGGTGCGATGCAGCGTTTGTGCTGCTTCATCCTGCGCTGCTGGTGGCAGGGAGTTCCCCTCGGAGCCTGTCGGTGCGGAACCAAAGCACCCGGCTTCCTTCTGACTCGGCAGCAGAGAGTCAAGCTTTTTGGCTTGCAGGGTGGTGGTGCTTTTGACTCAGCACTGGGAACCCAGCAGCTCCATTTCTCCTGCAGTGGGAGCACGATAAATAGATGGGAGGGACTGTCCCCCGCTGAGGACCTGGGGCGGAGTGAGCAGAGTTCCTCCTGGGTGAGCTGGGAGATAATTAGATCTGCTCTGCCCAGCATCACAAAATAGTATGAGGAAATGAGAAAAGGGGGGTTTTCCTTTTTTCCTGGTGTGGGCTCCAGCTGTTCCTGCTTCCTGGGGGGGGGGACGGTGAACCCCGGATCCTGTCCAAGGAGCTGAAAGTCTTTTTCTTTTCCACAGAGCACCTTGAGTGATGCCCAAGAAGTTCCAAGGTGAAAATACCAAGTCGGCTGCTGCCCGGGCGAGGAAAGCTGAGGCAAAGGCAGCAGCCGATGCCAAGCGGCAGCAGGAGCTGGAAGATGCCTACTGGAAGGATGAAGACAAACACGTGATGAGGAAGGAGCAGAGGAAGGTGAATGACGAGTCAGGGAGAAGGGTGTCTTCTCGCTAGTGCTTTGCTGAGCCCCTGAGGTCCAGGCTCGCTCAGAAAGGGCCACTTCCCCCTCCTCTGTCCCCCAGCAGTAGCTGTCACCCCACACGTTCGTTTTGGGCAGAAAAGCTGAGATTTAGTGGCTTCTCTGGGAGCTAAAAGTAGCCGAGTGTGGGAGTAAGTGTAAGCTTTGATGTGTAATTCAGAAATCTGGTGGAGCTGAGAGCTGGCTTCCCGAGGGAGGCAGTAGAAGCTTTATTGTTGGAATCATTTAAAATTGAATTAAGTAAAAGATCAGGAACTCTGCTGCGGGGCTTGATTTTTGACAAGCAGTTCGTTAGGGTTTTTTTTTTCTTTTTTTTTTAAATTTCTTAACTTTTCTTTGATTTTTATTTTTTTATAGAAGGAAAAAGAAATCTGTGGGGTTAAGGGTTACTTTTTAATAGAAGGAAAAAGAAATCTGTGGGGTTAAGGGTTACAAAGTTGGGGTTTGTTTTTTTTTCCCTCCCTGGCTTGGTGTGCCATTTCAGGACATGTTTCTCTGGAAGGATTCTCTTTGGTTTGCTTTTATCAGCGTTGGCCTCTGCGTTGAATAAACAGAGCACTTTAATGCTCATTTCTGGGTGATTTGGTTTTTGGCGTTGTCCTGCCTCAGCGTTAGACAAATCTACCTTCTGGTTTTTGTGGATTTTTCTAGAAACTGTTAGTGAGAACTTTGGTCCTTCTTCTGAAATGGTTTTCCTTGCCCCTGTGCTGACCAGACGGGGCTCCTGTTGGGGATGTAAATGGGATTTGTGGGGTGACTGGGATTGTGCTGCTCGGTGCATGGGGCCCTTGCTGAGGGTTGTGTGTCAGTGCTGGGGTATGTGGGCAGGGAGCCAGCGTGTCCCCGTGACCTCCAGCTCTGCCTTGCTGCGTCCATCTGCGTGAGCTCACCCCTAAGATGTGTCCTGACGTTTGGAATTTGGAGTCCTGGGAGCTGTTCCCCCCCCTCCACCCCCACAATCCTGTAATGCTGCTTAATTACTTCCTGGAACAAGGACTTATTATTGCTCTACTTAAGATTTTTTGTCAGCAGTGACCTGTTTGACTGGGCTTCCAAAACGCAGGCGAGGGGAGTCTGGACTGGGGAGCCGTGTCGTGAGCTGGAATTGCCAACTGGGAAACTGGGCCTCAAACTGGGGTTTAGAGAAACTGGTGAGGTCGTTTCCACACAGCACCTCTCCCTGCAGCAGCGCAGGTCGGAATTTCACCCGAATCTTGTGTTTTACTGCATTTCCTTCCCACGAAAACCCCCTGGGGACCTTGCAGCAGCAGAATTCTCCGCTCAGGTGGGGGCTGTCCTGCCAGGAAGGCTCCCAGTTTAACTGCACGGGAGCTTTTCTGCAGCAGGAGCTGCCACAACCCAAGCAAAGGCCGGGCCTTTGTGATGAGGAGCAAATGGCCAACAGGCTCCCGAGTGGGTTGTGGGGCAAAATAAATCAGTGAAACCCTTCCTCATCTGCTCCTCCGGTGCCATCAGGCTGGAATATCCCCACGGAGAGGGGAAGAAGCTGCCTGTGCCCCATGGCATCCCGGTGGGGAAGGGACGTGTGACTCAGATTGTGAATGATTTTTCCATCTTCATCCTAGAGAGGACAGGAACGGTTCCCAGGAGTCAGGCTTCCCTGGAGAAGAAGCTGTTGGGCGGGTGGGGCTGGCGTGGAAATAACACTGCTGGGTGGCCATGGCCATATAGAGTCATAGAGTTGGAACAAGGACTTATTATTGCTCTACTTAAGATTTTTGCCAGCAGTGACCTGTTTGACTGGGCTTCCAAAACGCAGGCGAGGGGAGTCTGGACTGGGGAGCCGTGTCGTGAGCTGGAATTGCCAACTGGGAAACTGGGGTCCATCCCAGAGCCTCAAACTGGGGTTTAGAGAAACCAGTGAGGTTGTTTCCACTCGGCACCTCTCCCTGCAGCAGCGCAGGTCTGAATTTCACCTGAATCCTATGTTTTACTGCATTTCCTTCCACGAAAACCCCCTGGGGACCTTGCAGCAGCAGAATTCTCCGCTCAGGTGGGGGCTGTCCTGCCAGGAAGGCTCCCAGTTTAACTGCACGGGAGCTTTTCTGCAGCAGGAGCTGCCACAACTGAGGCGAAGGCTGGGCCTTTGTGATGGGGAGCAAATGGCCAACAGGCTCCCGAGTGGGTTGTGGGGCAAAATAAATCAGTGAAACCCTTCCTCATCTGCTCCTCCGGTGCCATCAGGCTGGAATATCCCCACGGAGAAGGGAAGAAGCTGCCTGTGCCCCATGGCATCCCGGTGGGGAAGGGACGTGTGACTCAGATTGTGAATGATTTTTCCATCTTCATCCTAGAGAGGACAGGAACGGTTCCCAGGAGTCAGGCTTCCCTGGAGAAGAAGCTGTTGGGCGGGTGGGGCTGGCGTGGAAATAACACTGCTGGGTGGCCATGGCCATATAGAGTCATAGAGTCATAGAATTGCCCAGGCCGGAAGGGACCTCCAAAGGCCATCTAGTCCGACCCCCCCGCAGTCAGCAGGGACACCCCCAACTAGACCAGGTTGCCCAGGGCCCCATCGAGCCTCACCTTGAATATCTCCAGGGATGGGGCCTGAGGGACTGGTGTTGCTCTCAGCTGCAGCATGAGGAGGAGGAGGAGGGGATGTGTGGAGGATGTGGAGGAGGATGCTCTCAGCACCTCACACCCAGCGCTCAGCAGCTCCTCCAGCCCTTCCCCAGCTCTCCTGGCGATGGCAGTAACACATTTAACTGCAGCCGTGCAACACCTCTCCATTCCTGCACCTTTGGTGTTGGCAGCACCATCGTGCCGAGGTCTCCCCCATGGCTTTGCTTGGTGGGAAGGGTGAAGGGCAGTAACACATTGAACGGCAGCCGTGCAACACCTCTCCATTCCTGCACCTCCAGCTGGTAGGGATGGCCAAAAACCTTTGGGATGTGCTGAGATTTAACCCCCCACTCCCCTTTTAATCCCTTTTTCTCCCCCGTAGGTGACCACTGGAGCCTCGGGGAGATAAGTTGCCCTGTTGCAGGGTTTGGTGGCCCTGCCTGGCGCTCTGGTGGCCTCGGTGACGAGGCAGTGATGCTCATTGAGCTTCGTGTCGGGAAGCTTTGTGTTCAAAATGCCACGTCTGCTGTCGTGAGAGTCACTGTCACCAGATGATTGGGCTGTGGTTTGCTTTTGGGGTTTCTTTAAATGCCTCTCCCCCCCACTCCTGCCTCTCTGAGAGCAGCCGTCCTCTGCTAACAGAGGATGACACTCGTTTGGTGGCTCTGCGATGCGTAAAGGAACATCTGAGCTCATGTCACCAGCCTGCCATGTGTGCATTCCTCCTCTGGCACTTCAGTCGCAGCCTGTTCCCTTCCCTGGAGAGCTCTGCCTGCAAAGCCCAAAACCTCCATCCTTCTTGCTGGAAAGACTCAGGGTTTTTACCGCGGTGACTGGTTTTTTTTTTCTTTGAACATTGGGGGGTGGTTTTGTCTGGTTTGTCCCTTCCCACTCTTCCTGTGCAAAGTCAGAGTGTGGCTCAGGGCGCCACGCTCCTCGCCGGCCTGATCAGAGCGTGGTTTTTCCCTCCCTGCAATTAGCTAAATTGTCTCTGGTAGTGGAGCAGCCACGGATGTCTGTGTGTCCTGGGCAGGCTTGGAAGGGTGACAAACCATTCAATCAGCTGGAGCTTTACGGGAAGAAAGAGACCCAGGGCAGAGCTCTGGGAGCTGGAGTCAGACTTTCTTCTCTCTGGTGTCTTTGGGTTTTGCCTCTTTGTGTGTGCCCTCATCAGGAAAATCTGGTGCTGGAGCTGAGGTGTCCGCTTGGTAGGATGCAGCCAAATTTCCAGTCTCCTTCTCCAACTCCCAGCAGGGAGGACAAGCCCTTCTCCCCTCTCAGGCTGTATTTTGCCAGGTTTCTCTTTGCTGAGTGCCCATATTGCCAGGAAAGCAGCTCCTCCTCGGCCAGTGGTGGCTCAAAGCCCCTCAATCCCCTTCTCTCTGCCCAGCCTGGTGGTGGCAATGCCATCACGCCGAGGTCTCTCCCATGGCTTTGCTTGGTGGGAAGGGTGAAGGGAGAGTGTGAGGGTGATACAGGAGCGAGGAGACACTTTGTCCTTGTGTACAAAGGGTCTGGGGAGAAATCCCAGCTGAACGCAGGGCAAGTACTTGTTTTAGGAGAGCTGAGGTAGAGCGTGAGGGAGCGGTGACTCTTTTGGTGTGAGTTTGATGCTTTTCTCCTTCCCCTCGGTTCCGTACCGGTGGGTCCCAGCCAGGGTGGCATCGCAGGTGGGCGGGCGGTGACTTTTTCTCTCCTCTGATTCAGAGCAGAATCAAAGATGATTCAAGGATTGGAGCATCTCCCTTATGAGGAGAGACTGAGAGAGCTGGGACTCTTTAGTCTGGAGAAGAGAAGGCTGAGGGGAGACCTTATCAACGCCTACAAGTATCTCAAGGGAGGGTTGAAGGAGGAGGGAGCCAGACTCTTTGCAGTGGTTCCCACCGAGAGGACGAGGGGCAACGGGCACAAGTTGGAACAGAAGAGGTTCCACTCAAATATGAGGAGAAACTTCTTCACGGTGAGGGTGACGGAACCCTGGAACAGGCTGCCCAGGGAGGTTGTGGAGTCCCCTTCTTTAGCTCTGGGCAATCCTGCTTCAGCAGGGGAGTTGGACTAGATGATCTCTATGGTCCCTTCCAGCTCTAAAAATTCAGTGAAATACTCAGCTCTCGTTGGGATAAAATGCAAGACGGGTCAAATGACTGTTCTTCCCTCTTGGGAGGAGGTCTGCGGGGTACCAGGTACGGAGCACTGAAACCTGATGGCTTGAATGAGCAGTGCAGGGGACAGAGATGGCATGGGGGGACACCTGATGACACCAGGCTGGGGTTTGGACCCCAGAACCATCTTCCTCAGGCTCTGGTGTCCCTTGGATGCTGGCTTTGAAGTCCTGTGGGTGGTGGAAGGGGCGTGTTTGATCCCCTTTCAGAGCTCTGGTGGTACCTCAGAGAGCACTTGGATGTACTCCGGGTCAGTTATCCCCACTCGCCTTCTGACTGCATCATTTTTTGCATCATTTTGCCTTTTTTTGCAGTGTCAGGAGCAACCTGCTCCTGCCTTCCTCGGGGCCTCACGCTTCCATTGACCTGCTGGCTCTCAAAGCCTTGTGTGTGGGACCTCATTCTCCTCCTCCCTCGCAGGTGGGAAGCTCTTCTGAAAGCTAATGAGTTGTTCCTTGCTCGGGCACTTCTCTGCCAGGCTGGAAAAATGGCCTTTTAACACGCAAATCCTTGGGGAACTGAAGTGTCCAGCTGGAGAAATGTCCCCCCCCTGCTCCTCCCGGTGCCCTGCAGAGCTCAGCCACGTTGAGGGAGGAAAAACCCATTAATTTCCTTTCCAGTTTTCTAACAGCTTTGCGGTACGTTTCACTTGGACAAATCCAAATCTCTTTCATCGGGACGTTTAAGCTGATTCAGAAAGGATTAGTTTGGTTTGGCCCAACCTCAGAAAAGTCTTCAAAAATAACAACTTCGGGGCCCCTCGGGGATCAGGGAGGAGGAGGAGGAGGCTCAGAGCTGCTGCTTCCCAGCAGCACGAAAGGTGGGGAGCAGGACCTGGACCTGACAGGGAAACCTGAGCGTGTAGATTTGGCAGATCTTGTGACAAATTAGTGACGGTGCCAGCTTATTTACTCTGCCACAAATAGAAACTCAATTGGAAATGCCAGAGAGCAGGGAGCAGCTCTTGGGGGGGAGCAGTAACTGGAGGTCCCCCTGCAGCTCCCAGGGTGGGTGGAAGGCTCTGTTTCCCCTTCATCGAGTGGATGTATCTTCTTCGTAGAGTGTTTTTTTTTTTGAAAGGAGCTATCAGCAGAAGAGCATTATCCTTAAATTTCTGCCCTGTCACACGTGCTGCCATCCCGGCCGGGCGATGCCAGACCAGCTGCTGAGCTGGCTGCCCTGTGGGACAGTCCCCTTTCTGTCACAAGCTGGGGGGTAGAAGATAATCTTCTCCAACTATAAATAACGTTTCTGTTCTGAAATGTCTTGCTCCCTTTCCTTAGGTCATTAGAACTTGCCTGTCCACTCCTTATCTGTCTCCTGAATTATTCAAGCCCCAGCCCTGCCTGCTCCTGGTGCCAGCACCTTCTCCTCGTTACCTTCAGTCACCCCCGAGCTCTGGAGCTGGGAGGAGAAACTGGGGGGCAGTGGTTTCTTTGCACTAACCCTGGTTCTAGGCACAGAATCACAAAAAGGGACCTTCTAGAGATCTTCTAGTCCAACTCTCCTGCTAAAGCAGGGTTGTCCAGAGCACTCAGGATGGCATCCAGCCAGGTCTTGAAGACCTCCAGAGAAGGAGCTAATTAAATGGCTTGGTTTCCCTGGCTGCTGGACCTTCTGTGGCCCTCCTTCTGTTTTGCTGCATTAATCTCTTCTGTTTTGGGGTTTTTCCCTGTGTTCTTCCTCAAAACTGCCTGATGCTCAAGCAAGAGGCTGGTGACCAAACTGGAAATCCCACCTGCAGCTGGGTGAGGGTGGGCAAAGCCCGGTGGCTGCTCGTGCTCAGCCGTATCCCTGTGTATAGATATTTTAAGGGGGAAAGACAGTCCTTCCCCCTCCTCTCGTGACAACCTTCCTGGTCCAGGAGCAGCCAAAATCCCTTCTCATCTGGGGAGACAGAGTAGATTTGTTTACTCAACCTTTACTAGAATCTGGGGAGACCGAGTAGATTTGTTTACTCAACCTTTACTAGAAGAGGGAGAGGCCTGACAGGAAAGCAGCAGGCAGGGAAAGCCGATGTCTTAAATAAATGAGTTTGCACTTTGCAATCATGCACGGTCCAGTTGCTGGGGCATTGTGTCTCAAGGCACCGCCACGACGCGCTTAATGACCAAGAATTTGAAGGCTGTAATAAAGGCTCCATCCCTCTAATGGCTTTTTTTTTCCCCCCATCCTTGGCCCCAGCTGCTTTCCGTGGAGGTAGGAGAGGCTTTTCCTTCCTTTCTCATCCCTTCCCAGCCGGGTTGAAAGGCCTGGTCCTTGCTCCTCTCGACCGAAACTGCAGCAGCCCCGGGGCATGTTTTGATTTCTGCGTTTGTGGGCTTTGATTCCGTGTTTTGATGGGTTTTTCTTTAAACTCTTGAGCTGTAGAGCGACTTAGAGGTGGTTTTTTGGGGTTTTTTTTGTTCAGTAGAGTCTCAAACCTGAGCCTCGCCGAACTGAGCCCTACCCCAGTGTGTGTAACTCTGCTCCTGCTCCTCCAACGCCGCAGCAGAGGGTGGGTTGTGTTGCTGCCGGGGTGGTTTCACTGTTCCTTTTCCGTTCCAGCTCCATCAGCTCCTTGTGCCATCCCTGTGAATAATGGATGAGGGCTGTAATTAAGTGTCTGTGGAAGTAACCTACATCTGAAACGCTCTGCAGCGTGTGATGCTGCCCCAGAGAGATGCTGGCTTGTTTCTTTCTCTTTTGTGCCAGACTTTATGGGCTTTGGGAGAGGAGGGGAAAAAAAAACCAACCCACAAACCTTGAAGCCAAAGAGCTGAAAGCCCCCAGGGACTCGTTGCACCGTCTTGTCACCCTCTTCCCTGGGCCTTGGAGGGCAAAGTGGCTCTTAAAGTCCTCGAGAAGCACTTTGATGTGAAGCAAGAGCTGTGTTGCTTGTTGGATTCGGTCTGGCCGCCCTCCCAGGCTCTTGGGGAGAGCGTGAGCCAGGCCCCAGGACGGGGATTGGGCTCCTCTCGAACAACCGCTGAACTTTCCACCTCCGGCCACTTATTCAAATTGAAGTGGAAAACTTAATCTGATTGTCAGCGGTTCCTGGCGACGTTCCTTCTCCACAGCAGGGTTGTGTTTCGCCGTATTGACGTCCCGTGGTGGCAGACGGGGCAGGGACGGGGGGAATTATGTGAAATTCAGTGAAATTATTATTCCGAAGGGACAGGACTGAAGGTCGGGGGGGGACCTGCCGACGTCCCTTCCCATCAGGTGAGGTGGGTGCTGCCTTGGCTGCAGAAATGAGGTGCCTGTTGCTGCTCAAGCGGGGTTCCCTGCTCCTCTAAGGGGTAGTTTGATCCCTCTGCGTCGGAGGGTGGTGGAAGGTGTAAGGGTGGAGGTGACCTGGGTCCTTTCTCCCTTCCAGGAGGAGAGGGAGAAGCGGCGGCTGGAGCAGCTGGAGCGCAAGAAGGAGCTGCAGCGCCTGCTGGAGGAGGAAGACTCCAAACTGAAAGGGAAGTCACCCAAACAGGTCACTCCGGGCAAAGTCACCAGGGCCCAGATTGAGGAGACGATCAGAAAAGACCAGCAGCAGAAGGAGAACGCGGACACAGGTTTGGTGGGACCATAGAAAAGAACTGGGAACCATGGAGGGAGTGGGAAGGGAGGGGGCTGTTCTTTCTTCACGTACATTTGCTGAAGGACAAGGTGTTGGGAAGGCAGGAGCTGCCAGAAGCTGTTCTGTGCTGTGTCTGAAACACAAATTGAGGGGGGAAGAAACCTTCTCTCACCCTGAGGTGGAGAAACAGAGCTGCAGAGCAGACACTCTTGTCTCCCAGCACTGAGCTTTCTCAGCGCTGTCTTCAGAGGGCTTTGGATTCAGAGCATGGTTTGGGTGGGAAGGGACCTTAAAGCCCACCCAGTCCCACCCCTGCCCTGGGCAGAGACATCTCCCACCAGAGCTGGTTGCTCCAAGCCCCCTCCAATCTGGCCTTGAATCCCTCCAGGGATGGGGCACCACAGCTGAAGAAAACTTGAAAACAACTTTAGGGAAGTCCCTGCTTCTTCTGAGGGTTCTACACGGGCTGGATTTGATGTTAACGGTTGTCCCTTTTCCCCGTCCCCTCCTTGTGCAGTGGAGAAGGAGAAGACTCACTTGGAGGTTCCTTTGGAGGAGAACCTCAACAGGAGGGTGCTGGAGGAAGGGTCGGTGGAGGCCAGGACGATCGAAGATGCCATCGCTGTCCTCAGGTACGTGGCCGGATCATAGCGATGTTCTCCTTTGAAGGTGTTGCTTTCCTCATGAGAAGTTCTTGTGGGCCCTCCCTCCCCAAGAATGGGCTGATTTTTATGCTTTCACTGTGACTTTCTGTCTCAGCAGCGAGACCAGGACCTGTCCCCTGCCCCGTTGTTGGGTGGAGGGGGGTTGAAACGGGCAGGGGGGGCATCACGGGGTTTTTCTGCTTCATCTCCTGGGTTATCCTGCTGGTGCTAAGAGAGGGGGAGAGCAGGGCCTGGAGGGAGGTGTCTCTGCTCCCTGTGTCCTTCTGGAAGAACAACAGGCACCAGTAGAGGTTGGGGGTGGACCTGCTGGAAAGCAGCTCTGAGGAGAAGGATCTGGGGGTCCTGGTGGAGAGTAAGTTATCCCTGAGCCAGTATTGGGCCTTGGTGGCCAAGAGGCCAATGGGATCCTGGGCTGCGTAGGGCAGAGTGTGGCCAGGAGGTGGAGGGAGGTCATTCTCCCCCTCTGCTCTGCACTGGGGAGGCCACAACTGGAATCCTGTGTCCAGTTCTGGGCTCCCCAGTTCAAGAGGGACAGGGAACTGCTGGAGAGAGTCCAGCGTAGGGCAACAGAGATGATGGAGGGATTGGAGCATCTCCCTGATGAGGAAAGGCTGAGAGAGCTGGGGCTCTTGAGCCTGGAGAAGAGAAGGCTGAGGGGAGACCTTATGGATCCTTCCAAGGATCTAAAGGGTGGGTTGAAGGAGGATGGAGCTGGACTCTTTCCAGTGGTTCCCAGTGACAGGACGAGGGACAATGGGCACAAGCTGGAACGGGGGAAGTTCCACTCAAATCTGAGGGAAAACTTCTTTGGGATGAGGGTGACACTGGCAGAGGCTGCCCAGGGAGGGTGTGGAGTCCCCTTCTCTGGAGATCTTCAAGCCCCACCTGGATGCTCCTGAG